CCCCCCCCGGCCCCGCTGTCCGCCCAGCTTGTGTGAGGCTTGTCTGGCTGCTGCCCGGGGCCCTCGGCGTGTCGCGGCCTGTCTGAGTGACGGTGACAAGGATTGCGGTGTCACCAGGCTTCACATCTCGTTAGGCGCGTTCTGCTCGCCCACGACCTGATTCGTTTTCAGCTCATCACGCTCTCGGCGCCCGGGGCCACAGGCAGGGAGCCACGGCTGGGTGCTTCTGGAGGGGGGCAGGGAGGCGCCCCTGTGGGGGGCTGGGGGCAGGGGGCCCTGTCGGGGGACAGGAGGCGCGCCTCATGTCCGCGAGAATTCTCCTCTGCCCTTGACGGCTCCGGCTGCCCGGTTTCCTCCTGCTGCTCCAACATTAGACTCAGAAGACACAGGTCACTGACTGCACAGCGCCCCCACCCGCCCCGCCAGGGCTCCCGGTGGGGTGGGGGCGGGGGGACAGCTAGGCTGCCATGCGGACGGGACTTCCTGGCCCAGGGGGCTCAGCACCGTCCTGCAGACTTTGCTGCCAAGACCTTGTCCCTACTTGCCCCATCAGCAGCCCTTCCTCTCCTAAGTCCCCACTGAGGGTCCGCTACATCCTGGGGGTGTCACACAGGGCCGGCTGCAATCCCCGGGAAGAGGAGACAGCCCCCAGGCGGGCAGGGCTGGCCAGGACCAGCCCAGGATGCCCCCTGGCCCAGAGCGGGAACACTGGCCCCACGCTGCCCCCTGGTGGAGGGGGCCTGGCGGTGCTGGTTTCGTGCCTCCCTGGCCTGCACTGCCCTGGCCATGTCTGCCTCCCTCCAATGATGGCCACACTGCCAGCTTACCCCACGCAGGGGGACACCAGCCCGGGGGCAGAGCCCCCGTCTCAAGATTTCCACCTGAGGCTCCCCCAGTGCGTGGCTGGGAGGGGGTGGCCACGTGGCTCTGGGCAGCACGAGCACCAGGCCACCCAACGCCCGGCGAGAGGCCTGGGTTCCTGCCCGGATAGCCTGGGCCCAGCTGGGAGCTCACAGCACAGCCAGGAGCCAGCCAGGCCGCCTCAGCCTTGACCAGCTGGGTGACCTGGGAGCCTCGGTGTTCCCCACCATCGCCCCCTCCGGTGGCCCCGAGGCTCCTCGCGCTCCAGCGCACCTGCCCGCGGCTCCACCACCCGTCTCGCCCCACCGAGCAGGTGCAGGGTTTCGTGAAATTTGAGGAAACCAGCAGACGGTGTGTAAATAAATAAGGGAGTCGGGGCTCCAGCCCAAACAGGAGTCCAGCGGGCAGCGACCCGGAAAGCAGCCCCAGGGGGAGGGAGAGGCCCAGTCCGCTCCACCCAGCCCTGCCCCACGCACCTCACCTGTGCGCCCAGGTGGTGCTGAGCAAGCCGGCCCCGCCCCGGCGCAGGTAGGACGCCTGCGCGATGGGGCAGCCGCAGCGGACCCGGGCGAGGCGGGCTGCCCATTGGCTGGCCGGGCATGGTCCCATCCTCACTGCGCCCGCGGCCTGTGCGCACTGCGGGTGCAGCCCTAGGCAGGTGGACACCGCCCGCCACGCACGGGAGCCTGCAGGAGCAGGGCGGGCAGCGCGGAGCTGGGTCCAGGCACCTGCCCTGAGACAGCCCCAGGGTGCCCAGAGCTACACACGGGCAGAGGCCAGCCCGGGGCGGGGTGGAGCGGGACAGTGACAAGGGACAGAGGCAGGCCGGCTGCGACCAGTCCGGAAAAGCAACCCCTAGGCTCCGTGGCTCTGGGCCCAGGCGGCCGGGGCTCCATCAGTCACCGCCAGAGAGAAAGCCGGATCTGCCGCCTGACCAGTCTCCCCGGGGCCAGCCCGTTAGCCGCCCTGCCAAGGGCAGGTGACAGTAGCGCGCTGCCGGTTCTAGCAAATTCTAAGCCAGCAGCCTTTGTTTGCATTACTTGGTCTTTGCCTGCTTTCCCAACAGTGAGAGTGGGAGCTGCGTACGCAAAGCTAATACTCTTGGGGGGCGCCCTGCAGGTCGGTGCTGGGCAGGCCAGGGTCCGAGAGTCCCGTCTGGCCAGTGCATCCCCCCAGCAGAGCCCCGCCTCCGCTCCCCCCAGCCTCCTGGGGACAGAGGTGGACCTGGGAGGCAGCAGAGGACGGCTCGGGCACTTGGGTCCCTGTCACCGTGGGGGAGACCTGATGGCTCCTGGCTTGGGCTCATCCTTACTGTTGGGGGGGTGTGAATCGGGATGGAAGATTCTTTCTCTCGCCCTCCCTCTCCCTCTTTCTCTCTAATTCTCTCACTCTGCCTTTCAATGAAATAAAGTGAATTAAACTTACAAAAGAGAGGGAGAGACCTGGGCTTAGGCGAGCCACGCGGAATCCCCACCTGGCCGCACCCGGTGAACACGGCTTCTGCCGCCTGGCTTGGGATCCCGCACGGGCAGACGTTTCAGCCATAGAGCTCTCGTGTTGTTGTCCTAGCTTTGTACCCCAGGATGAGACTTCTTGGAGCTGTCGTGAATGGCACCCTGAGCAATTGTTGGTTTCCGGTTGCTCGTTGCCAGTACAGAAATGCAGCCGACTTTGTGGGTTGACTTGTGATCTCGCTAAACTCATTTATTGGGCTGGGGGGGGGTATTTGGGGTGTTTTGGTAGATTCTCAGGGTTTTCTGTGTAGGTCATCATTTTGGATGCAACTGGAGGTGGTCTGGTGCCTTTTCTCTTTCTTGCCCTGTTGTGCCGGCCAGGGCTTCAGCACAGAGCAGGAGTGGTGAGAGCAGTGTCCTTGCCCGTTCCTATCTTGCAGGCAAACAGTCAGTCTTTAAAAAAAAAAAAATTATTTGGTTTTATTTTATTTTAAAGGCAGAGTTACAGAGAGGAAGCAGGGAGAGAGACAGTCATTCCCCAGAGCTGGGCCAGGCTGAAGGCAGGAGCCTGGAGCCCCAGCGGGTCTCCCAGGGTGACAGGGACCCCGGTACCTGGGCCATCTTAGCTGCCTTCCCAGGAACACTAGCAGGGAGCTGGATCAGAAGTGGAGCAGCCGGGACTCGAAGCGGTGCTCCTGTGGGATGCCGGCGTCAGAGGCGGCCTCACCCGCTGTCCCCACAACGCCGGCCCCAAATGTTCGGCCCTTTTGCCATTAGGTACAATGTGGATGTGGTTGGTGTCTCCCCGTCCTCCCCCACCCCGCCCCACCAAGGCCTTTCTCAGACTCGGGGTGCTCTTTTCTGCCCCCAGTTTCCTGAGGTTTTCACAGAAATGGTGCTGGAGTGTCCGATGCTTTCTCTGCGTCTGTGGATCTTGCAAGAGTGATGTTGAAGGCTGGCTCGGGGCTGTGGCCCCTAACCCTAAGCCTGACCCTGACCCTGACCCTGACCCCTAAACCCTAACCCCTAACCCTGACCCTGACCCTAACCCCTAACCCTAACCCCTAACCCTGACCCTGACCCCTAACCCTAACCCCTAACCCTGACCCTGACCCTGACCCCTAACCCTAACTCCTGTCCCTGTCCCTGACCCTGACCCTGACCCCTAACCCTAACCCTGTCCCTGTCCCTGACCCTGACCCTAACCCCTAACCCTAACCCTAACCCCTAACCCCTAACCCCTAACCTTAACCCTAACCCTAACCCCTAACCCTGACCCTGACCCTGACCCTGACCCTGACCCTAACCCTAACCCTAACCCTGTCCCTGACCCTGTCCCACATGAAGGACGGACAGCCGGGGAGGTGGCACACGTGGGGGTGTGGCACAGGCAGGAGACCACAGCACCGGCGTGGCGCGAGCAGGTGGCATACGACTCGGGGAGCACTGAGACTCTCGGGGACCCCAGGTCTGAGCCCCGGGCCCCACCATGCTCGTCCCTGGGAGCTCACCCTGTGCTCTCATTCGTTCATTCATTCATTCATTCATTCAGCAAACGTTTCCCGAGCGCCTACCCTGTGACACCCGAGGGTATGACACAAAGCCCGTGCCAGAAGCCCCTGCTCCAGGGTGAGGGTGGGGCGGGGCCTGCGAGGGGGGGTCCTTCTGAGTCGGGGGTGCAGGGCTTCTGAAGAGCCGACGTTTGAGCAGATCTGTAATGGCGTGAATGAGGCGTCAGAGGGAGAGGGCAATGTCCCGAGGCACGGAGGGGGTGACCGGCAGATGCTGCGGTGCCCTCCCACCCTTCAGAACCAGGCCCTGCTCTGCAGCTCCAGGGGTGCCGATGACCCAGGGAGGGGCCCCTCCCCAGGAACCGCCTGCACCTGCACCCCAGGGAGCTCCCCCTACCCCCTACCATTGAGTCAGGACACCCCCACCCCCACCACCACTGATTCAGGACACCCCCCACCGCCTGCCCGGCTCCCTCCGTTGTTCCCGGGTGTGTCCGGAGCCTGCCCGGTGGCCTCAGACACGCAAACCTCTGCCCAGAGCCCATCTGCCCCGACGTCCCCGCCTGGAGCCAGAGTGCACTGTTCCAGCAGCTGCCTGCCCGAGGGCGGAGGTCCCCCAGCTGCCTGCCCGAGGGTGGAGGTCCCCCAGCTGCCTGCCTGAGGGCGGAGGTCCCCCAGCTGCCTGCCCGAGGGTGGAGGTCCCCCAGCTGCCTGCCCGAGGGCAGAGGTCCCCCAGCTGCCTGCCCGAGGGTGGAGGTCCCCCAGCTGCCTGCCTGAGGGCGGAGGTCCCCCAGCTGCCTGCCCGAGGGTGGAGGTCCCCCAGCTGCCTGCCCGAGGGTGGAGGTCCCCCAGCTGCCTGCCCGAGGGTGGAGGTCCCCCAGCTGCCTGCCCAAGGGTGGAGGTCCCGCAGGTGCCTGCCCGAGGGCGGAGGTCCTGCCTGCCGCTGTTGTCCTTTGCTGTGCTGCCTTCCTCTCCTCGCTGAGTCTCCGGGTTTGCCTCTTACTTCCCTTCGCTTTAGCTAAAATAAACACGGTCGTCCGTGGACCTGTGTAAGGTGTGTGTGAGTGTGAGTGCGCACATGAGAGCATGGGTGTGTGTGTGTGCATGACTGCGTGTAAGCATGTGAATGACCATGTGTGAGCACATGTGAGCTTGTGTGTTAATGTGAATGACCATGTGTGAGCACATGTGTGACCGTGAGCACGTGTGCAAGCATTGTGTGAGTGTGAGCACGTGTGTGGGTGAGCATGAGCTGTGTGAGGACTGAGGTGTGTGAGTATGTGTGTGAACATGTGTGAGCACGTGTCTGTTATGTGAGCATGTGTGTGTGAGCATGAATGTCGAGTCAGCACGTATGTGAGCACGTGTGATCACGTGAATGAGCATGTGCACGATTGTGTGTCGCCGTGTACAAGCATGTACACATGTGTGAGCATGTATGTGAGCCTGTGACTGTTGTGAGCATGTGAGAGTGTGTGTGTGTGTGCAGAGGGGGAAGGGTGGACGCAGCCTTTGAATCAGGGCTGCTACTCCCAGACTTCTCTTTGGTAGGGGCTCATAAATGTATCTTGTGGAGTGAGCGAGTGGGCGACTGAGTGAATGAGTGAGTGACTGCGTGAATGAATGAATGAGTGAGCGAGCGAGTGAGCGAAGTCCACCGCGGGAGAGTCGGAGTCGCACCCTTCCCACAGTCCACCGCGGGAGAGTCGGAGTCACACCCTTCCCACAGTCCACCTCGGGAGAGTGGAGTCGCACCCTTCCCACAGTCCCCAGCGGGAGAGAGGAGTCGCACCCTCCCCACAGTCCACCTCGGGAGAGTCGGAGTCGCACCCTTCCCACAGTCCACCTCGGGAGAGTGGAGTCGCACCCTTCCCACAGTCCCCAGCGGGAGAGAGGAGTCGCACCCTTCCCACAGTCCACCGCGGGAGAGTGGAGTCGCACCCTTCCCACAGTCCACCGCGGGAGAGTGGAGTCGCACCCTTCCCACAGTCCACCGCGGGAGAGTGGAGTCGCACCCTTCCCACAGTCCACCGCGGGAGAGTGGAGTCGCACCCTTCCCACAGTCCACCGCGGGAGAGTCGGAGTCGCACCCTTCCCACAGTCCACCGCGGGAGAGTGGAGTCGCACCCTTCCCACAGTCCACTGCGGGAGAGTGGAGTCGCACCCTTCCCACAGTCCACCGCGGGAGAGTCGGAGTCGCACCCTTCCCACAGTCCACCGCGGGAGAGTGGAGTCGCACCCTTCCCACAGTCCCCAGCGCCGTCCCCTGCACGCTGCAGCCCGGTGGGCAGTTTCTTGCCCGCACCCAGGCGCCAGCCCTGCCCCGTCCTCCAGGCTCTCCTGCCACCTGTCCTCTCCCTGGGAGACCCTGGAGGTGACAGTCCCCAGCCCCCAGCTGTGTCCCTACAGCCTGTCCCCAGGGCGGGGAGGGGGGCGCAGTCTCCACCCCTGCTGTGAATTGTCCTCGCCCAGCCCCGCCCTCCAGGGCCCCTGAGGGTCTGCGGCCTCCGTCACTCAGGGAGACACCAGAGCCCAGTGTCGCCGCCTGCTGGCCCCTGGGGGACGGCCCGCTAAGGAGAAAGCCGGTGTCGCCCCAGTGCTGTGTAGGTGCACCTTCGTGGGGGCGGAGGCTGGGGAGGAAGGCAGGGGTCGGTCCCGGCTGCCAGCCAGGGTCGGACGTGGCTCTGGCGTGCGTCCTGTCCTGCGTGGACCCGTCTCCTCCACTCAGCGCCTCTGTCCAGCACGGGCGCAGCGGCAGGGCAGCCAGCGACAGCACTGGGACAAGAGCGGGCGAGCCAGGGGACGCCGTGGCGGCTCAGGGCTGCGTGAGGGCCCGCGCTCAGCTTCGGGAGGGGGCGGCCTGGCTCGCAGCACCTGGAAATCCAGATGCGGGGACAGCCCTGCCCCGGCCCCTCCCCAGCACCCACATCTCGGGGTGCCCCGGGCCCTCCCCAGCACCCACATCTCGGGGTGCCCCGGCCCCTCCCCACCACCCACATCTCGGGGTGCCCCGGGCCCCTCCCCACCACCCACATCTCGGGGTGCCCCGGCCCCTCTCCACCACCCACGTCCTGTTTGCGCAGCCCTGGCCGGTGCCGCTGGCGCCGTTTCTGGGCACACACCCCTCCTGGGAATCAGAGCTTCCGGATCCTTCCCTCAGCCCACCCCACCGTGGGTGCGAGCAGTCGGCCTCCCTGGGGAAGCCCTCAGATGAGGGGCCGGGGAGGGCGCTTGGGGGGGTCTCGAGCTGTGACGTGAGAGCAACACCATGCGTGCCCGCCCCAGGCTCTTGCTGATCTGCGGAGGCTCCGCCCCTCCTGTCCGTGGCGGGAGTCACAGACGCTCTCCCCTCTGTCCCCAGAGCCAGCTCCTCTCCTCTGAGGGCCACGCCCGACCCCCTCTCCCACCCAAGAGCCCCAGGGCATCTCGCACAGCCTGTGCACTCACGGGCCTTGGGTCAGTGCTTGGCAGTCAGATTCACGGTGCGAGTGCTCTCTTTACTCCTCGTCTTCACTAAGACTTCAGCGTGGCACCGGTGCACTAAGCTGCCCACAGCAGAGCGCTGGTTCGAGTCCCGGATGCTCCGCTTCTGATCCAGCTCTCTGTTACGGCCTGGGAAAGCAGTAGAAGATGGCCCAAGTCCTGGGGCCCCTGCACCTGCATGGGAGACCCGGAAGAAGCCCCTGGCTCCTGGCTTTGGCCCAGGTAAGCCCTGGTTGGTGTGGGCATTTGGGGAGTGAACCGGCAGGTAGAAATTTCTCTTCTGTTTCTCCCTCTCCCTCTCTCTGACTCTTGAATACATAAATCATTTTTAGAAAGAGTTCATGGCATCACGCCCACCACTTTAGGTCTGTTTATAAGTGCATGGTACCCCTGTGTCCGGGGGGTGCACCCCAGGGCCCCCAGTGGCGCCTGAAACCGCAGCCACCCCCTGACCCACTCCAGGCCGTGTGTCCTCCCCATGATTGCGATGGCACTGAGTGACCACGGAGACGCTGGACAAAGGGGCCCCGTCACGCCACTCAGGGCGCCCATGACTTCAAGCTTAGCCATTGTTCATTTCTGGAACTTTCCATTTAGCATTCAGGTTGACCACAGGTCACTGCTGCAACAGAAAGGGAAACCACAGGGAAGGGCTGCCGTGGGCCCAGCGCCCAGGGGCCGCAGCTGGGCCGCAGGCACCTTCCCGAGGGGCCGAGAGCCCCTCCTCTGTCACAGGCCCGGATGGGGGTGCAGACCAGGGACTCCCCGCGAGCCTCAGTCTCCCGGATGGGTCTCCAGGGCAGGGCTCAGACCTCAGCAACCGCTCCATTCTCTCGGTGCCGCCATGGGCAGGCAGAATGAAGCGCCGTGGGGAGGGACAGGCAGACCCCCACCCTGGACCTTTGTGGGTTTGACATTGAACATGTGCAGGTGCACCTGAGCTGGGGGCGGGGGGGCAGCGAGAAATAGGAAAAAGTAAAGAAAGGAGTGGGGGCGGAGCTCTGCGCACCCAGCCCTGAGCCCTCCTCTGGCCTGGGCGGTCCTCCCAGTGCCCTCAGCCCCCCGCAGGACACAGGCGCTGTGGCTGCAGCCCTCGGACCACAGGCCCTGCCTTGTGCCGTTTCCTGGGCCAGGGTCTGGGGTCCGCATCGCCCCGCGAGGCACCGCCTGCCACAGCCACTGCGGGTGCTCCGGGGCCCCCCTCTGGAAGGGGCAGCGGGTCAGCCTCAGGCCGGCTGCCCTCGGGTCCAGCCCCAGGGGTATCAGGTCTCACGTGATTGGGTGGGGGCTTCGAGAGCGGATTGGATGCGATGAGGCTGGTGACTGGATCCTGGTCGATTCCAAGAGCCCACGGGGACTGACCTGCGCACGCCCCCCCGGGGACCCTGCCAGCAACAGTCGTCACCGGAGGCCAAGCCGACAGGGCTGCCCGAACCACAGCAAACCTCTTCGTCCGAGTGGGTGTCTGGCCCACCACTGACCCATGCTGGATTCCGGGCCAGCTCCCTGCTGACGCAGACCCTGGGGGCGGTAGCGAGTCCCTGCGCACACAATGAGTGCCCTCGATGAGCGCCCAGCCTTGGCCCCGGCCCAGCCCCCGGCCGGAAGTCAATCCATCCACCAGTCAACTCGAAAAGCAAAGTAGAACAAACCCCAGGTATTCCGTTATAGCAGCAACGAGCTGGCTGGCCCAGGACAGGGCGCCCACTGGAGACCTCCCCTGCACGGCCCCCGATGGGCGCCGCAGTGCCGTGGGCACAGACACAGGGGCCACACTGCCGGCCTCGGGCTTGTGGGGGCCCAGACTCCAACTCCCTCCACCAGCAACCCCCCCCCCCCACCGCTTCAGCTGCAACTTCTGAATCTTATTCTATGAATAGAACCAGCAAATTTTTACAATCATTTTTGGGGAGAACTTTGATTAATGTTTGTACCATTTACCTACTTAGTTAATTAAACTCCTTTAAACATCTTAAGCTGCAATCAAAATTTATTATACTGAGTTGTCTACATTTTTCAATTATCTGACTAACGAATTTTCCCGAGTTCTTACCTGAATCTTATAAATCAGATACATTAAACGTGCAATTATGGTGATTTTTAAATATTCAAAAACTGTTTACCAACTTGGGAAGATTTCAACTTGCAATCAGAGGTAGAAATCAACGACTCAAGGGCCCATTTAAAATTAGAACCGCAAGTCTGATGCTGGCACTCAGATTGCCAAATTCTCTTGGAAGTTTTACCTCCTTCAGCCGCCAAAAGACACCCGCGTCTGAGCCCAGCACAGCAACACACAGGCCGCCTTCCGCCGCCTCGTCACTGCTTCACTCAACTCCAGATTCCTCCTGCTGGGCCTGGCGTCTCCCTCTCGGGGCGTCCGTGCCCAGCGGGTGTTCCTGACGTTCTGGTGCCCACCAGGGTAGAGCTGGTCAGACAGGGCCCACGCCACCGCGGCCCCTCGCGCCCACTGCTGCACAGCACCACAGGAGGCCCCAGGGCGCCACGCCGAGTTCTCACCAGGCCTTCCGCGGTGCAGACACGGCTGTGACAGCAACCACCCACGGGCTGGGCATCACCCCGGACTGCAGGCCCTCCCTCCCACCCCGTCCCGCACAGGAGTGGTCTTCCAGACCTGGGCAGCCCCACCCGAGCTCTCTCAGTCCTGCCTTGAGCCACCTTCTTGGCTGAAAGTCAGGTGAGAGCCCGGGAGCCTGTGAGAGCAGAGAGCAAAGACAGGCGCCTGCACGGGGCGCCACCAGGGCCCAGGCACAGGGCCGGCTTCCCGCCCAAGGGAGCCTCCCCGGCTTCTCCCACCCTCCGCGGGCCGCCTGCCTCTGCACTCAGCATCGCAGTCAGACCCGCTGCTGACTGGGGCGTCTGGGGTGTCCCGGGGGGCTGCCTGGGTGTGAGGGTAAGGGGAGGAGGCGCACGGGGCCGGGACTGGGACCTGTGGGGTGTGTGTGTGCACGTGCGCCACACGCACACAGTGCCTCTGCTTCCAGACCAGCCCAAGGCTTCAGGGTTGTTCTAAATCACTCGGGACGGCCCAGTTACCCACTTTGCAACTAAAAGTAGAACCTGACGCGGCCCCAGTCAAGGAGGCAAAGTCTGCTGGGGGAGGGGGTGTCGGGGGAAGCCGGTGCTCCCTGGAGGAAGGGTGCACGTGCCGCCCCTCCTCCCAGTCCTCCTGTCCTGAGAGCAGAGAGGAAGCCTGGCGCTGTGGTGGTGGTCGTGTGACCAGGAGGGGGACAGCCACGGCTGAGATGCCGGATGGAAAGAAAGAATCCGGCCCTCGGTGGCACAGTTGGGTGACTCCATCCGGCCCTCGGTGGGACACTCTCCATGTGGGGCTGAGTCACCCACGAGAAGGAAGCCCCCGTCGGTATTAGACAGACCTGGCTGGGGTTCTGTTCTGCTGTTTGTAACCAAACACACCCCTCGGGAGCCTGAACCAAGACGGGCAGCCCGTCAACAGCCACAGCCCAGAGTTCACAGTGTGTTACGCCCACTGGGCACGACCAGGAGTGTTTCTGGAAAGAGTTCCAGGACGATTCGCTGGTGATAGGGCGGAGGAAAGATAGACCCCTACCTCACACACACACCAAAAATAAACCGCACAGACATTGGGGGGGGGACTGCAAAAGTCTAGGGGGATCCCAGCTGCTTACAAATGGAAGCAACAGGCGAAAGGCAGTCAGAGAGCAGAAGCAGGCTGTGGGGGCGGGGCACCTGTGGGGCAGGGCACCGTGGCTGCGGCCCACCTGCAGCTCTGCACACGAGCATGACCTCAAACTCCACGGGATGAGCAACTCCTCCAGGTCCCCCCGAGTCCCCCTACAGCCCCGGGAGAGGGGGTGGGTAGAGGAACTCAGTCGTTTGAGACACCTGGAAGGTGAACCCTGTTCTGTTCACATGGCAATAGCACACCCTGTGTGACAGGAACCAAGAGGGGGCGGCGCTGTGGCGTGGTGGGCAAAGTCACCGCCTGCAGCGCCCAGCATCCCATATGGGCGTCGGTTCTAGTCCCAGCTGCTCCACTTCCCATCCAGCTCTCTGCTGTGGCCTGGGAAAGCAGTAGAAGATGACCCAAGTGCTTGGGCCCTGCACCCATGTGGGAGACCTGGAAGCTCCTGGTTCCTGGCTTCGGATCAGTGCAGCTTCGGCCGCTGTGGCCATTGGGGAGTGACCCAGTGGATGGAAGACCTCTCGCTCACTCGCTCGCTCGCTCTCTCCCTCTCTCTGTAACTCTGCCTCTCAAAAAAATAAATTAAAAACCAAGAGGAACCACAAGGATTTCTGCTTCCTACGTTATCAAGGACTTGATGGGCCAAACATAGCAGGGGAAGAAAGGCCCTGAGACATGGAAACGCGGTGCAGCACCACAAACACCCCGGCCACCGCGCAGCTGGGCTCCCGCGGAGGGGAAACATGGACTCCAGGGAGGAGGAGAGAGCCAGAGGCCAACACGCCGGGGGTGCCTGTGGGACGGCAGCGAGGTCCTCTGGGGATGGGAGCACAGCCCCGAACCCAGGGAAAGCCTCCCCTCCCCTACACAAGCCCGGGACCCTCTAGAGGCTGCTCCTCCCTGAGGAGTGGGCCAGGGAGATGCCCCCTGAGCCGGGACTCTGCGCTGTGGGCCAGACCCCGCCTGGCCGGCTGGGGAAGGACTCCGGGCTGCCGTGAGAGGGGACGGAGACAGCACGGCCAGAGGGTGGGCGTGGCCGCCGTGTCCTGGGCCGGGCCAGGGGTGGACACTGGGTTGAGGGGGGATCCAGCACTCCACGTCCCGGCAGGGGCGCCCTGCTGTGTGACCAGCCGGAGCTCTGGCCTACAGAACAGAGGAGGAGATGCCAGAAAGCCCGGGGCAGACGACCGAGGGAAGCACCCGTGGCGTAGGGATTCGTCCCGGAAAAGCACAGAACTCACACACGCTCCGGGGCCTCCCAGATGGCCGTGGCCACCGCCTGCAGGACTGAGCCGCCCGCAGGACACTGGACGCACCATCGCAGTTCAGCATGGGAAGTGAGAGGGGGTAATGGCTGGAGGGGCCGGAGCCGCGGGGATGAGTCGTGGTGGAATGAGCTGGTCATGCCAAGATGGCCGCTGGCAACGGAGCCTGCCTGGCAACAGGCTGTGATTGGTTAGGGCATAGACCACCCCTTGACCGGATTGGCTGCCTTGGCTATATAAGCTGCTGTACCACCTGAACTAAACGAGTCTGCAGGCTGCAGGCCTCTGGCCCGCTTTACGCAGCTCCTGGGGTCTGTGTGGTGACTCCGCGCCTCTTGCCCCCACCAGGCTCCTCCTCTCAGAACGAATCCACCTCAACAATGAGTGATGGAACAGCACAGGCTGTGGTCCTGCCAGCGGCATCGACCGACGGTAGGGGCTAGGGCGAGGATGAGGGCGGCGCGAGGAGCACGCTCTCCTCGACTTCCAGACCCAGACCCAGAGCCCACGCATGGGACGAAGAAAGGTGTTCTCAGGCAGGACCCAGGAACTCCATGCAGGAGCCCCCCGCCGCGGTTCCTCCGTGCCTGTTTATCAGCCTCTGCACCAGGGAAGAGGGTGCCCAGGCTTGCGAGGACTGCTGGACACGGGACCAGGGCTGACATGGATACCAGGGGACCCAAAACACCACCATGGCCCCCTCTTGGGGGGTGGGTGACAATGCTCTACTGCAAGCCTGCCCCACAGTACCTGGACACAGCCTCGGGGGGACCTGGAACAGAGCTGTGGATCTGGGGTGGGGCGCCCTTTTCAAGCCCTGCCTGACATGATCCCTATGTACCTGGAACGGACAGCACACGTGTAGAGGGCCCTCGGTCACCCACACACCTCCCTGAAGGTTCCCTGTTCATAGGACCCGGCAGGCAAGAAGGGGGAGCCCCCTGAGGCACGGTGAGCCGCGGGGCTTTGGGAGGGTGGGAGACAGACCCCACACAGGCGGGCCTGGCGCCTCGCCGCGCTTCCAGCCTCACGTGGCCCCAGACACCCACAACCTGGAACTCAGTCTTGGGTGCATGCTACGAAATCCGAAGGTGGTGTCTGGAGGGCAATCCTGGAAGCGACTGGATTAGGTCAAAGAGCCCGGTGCTTGGATCATGGTGATGTCGTAGGACAGACAGACACGGAGCCCGGCCCACCCCTGCCTCTTTCTATGCGACGCCCTGTGCTGGCCGCAGGCAGTCGGCACCACACGAGGCCCTGGGCAGAGCCCCTGCAGGAGGCCAAGCAAAGGGAGAAAGGGAGCCTCTTCCGTCGAGTGGGCGGAGCGCTGACCAATGCAAGCTCCCAGGGGCCTCCCAGGAAACCCCGTGCATCTTCTACCCCTTAGGAGACGGCTCAGGACCCGGCGAGCCCCCGGACTCGGGGAGTCCTGCCCGCACCCGGTCATCAGGGCCTGGACACACCAGCGCCGCGGAGGCAGAGAGCGAGACAGGGCTCCGGCAGCTACCCACCTTGGGCCAGGTCAGCGGCTGGCCGCTCGGGGGCGCCGTGGAAGCCGCGGAGAGCCAGCGCGTGGCCGCGGGAGCGAGAGGGCCCCCCGCAGGGGCGGGAGCCGCTGTGGAAAGCAGCTCTCAGACCGGCCTGGGCGCTCAGGCGACCGAGCTGCCAGACTCCCGGCCAGCGAGGATCATGCTGGGTCGCTGCTGCAACAATCACGGACCTGATGCAGACGGAACATTCCGGAACAGCCCTGAACGTGCCCACACGCCACAGCGAGGTCTGGGCAGGAGAGCTCCGGCCAGGGCCCCCGGCTGCCCGCTGGGGACCGGTCAGCCCCGCCCCGCCCCCTCCATCCAGCACAGGACAGTCCGGCAGAAGTTACCTGCCTCTGCCATGCTGGCGCACAGGTGCAGGGAGCCCGGGGCAGGGGGCAGCCGCGGTGGCCAGGCTGCGGCCACGGTGGGCCCTGCGCCACGACTCCCAGAGGGAGGAACCCTGCCCCTCGGGCCATGCCAGCTGCAGAGGGCTGGGATCAGCCCCCTCCCCCGCACCCAGCCGTGGCCGCCCTGCAGCCCGGTAGCGGGGCTCCCCGATTGCGTGTGTCCTGTCCCGGGAGCTGGCCGCACTGCAGGTGACAGCCGGGTCTCCAGGACCTTCCTCGAGACCAGGTGTCTCACGGGGGACGCCAGGAGGTCCGGGGAGGCGAGCTCGCCCTCCCACCCACCCCAGGCACGTCTGCCGGTCACCGGGAAAGCCAGGTGGAAGGTGGCAGCCTCCCCTTCCTTGCCGTGGGCTGCAGCCAGCGTGGGCAGACGTAATGCCGCCGGTCCTGGCGGGGAGATCCCAGGCCCACGGGAACGCGCTTCCTCACGCACCCTCCCCTCCCTGTGGCTTCCCGCCCCCCGCCAGTGCTTCCGGAAGCTCCCACCCTTCTGCCAGTGCTTCCGGAAGCTCCGCCCCCCCGCCGGTGTTTCCGGAAGCTCCCGCCCCCCGCCAGTGTTTCCGGAAGTTCCCCCTCCCCCAGTGCTTCCGGAAGCTCCAGCCCCACCCCCCGCCAGTGCTTCCAGAAGTTCCCGCCCCCCGCCAGTGCTTCCGGAAGCTCCCGGACCCCACCAGTGTTTCCGG